TCGCCGCCCCCCCCCCGTCTTACCCGTCCCCCCGCCGCTGGGCAGGCTCTTCCGGAAGGTGGGCCAGCTGCTGCTGAGCCCGTGCGGGCCGCCCTGTGAGTGCCCGCTGCCCGCCCACCCTGCTCTGCTCTCCCGCAGGCCTGGAGGGGGCGGCTGAGGTGGCCCCGGCTCTGCCCACAAAGCCCCATGCCTCCCCAGGCCCCTTCACTCCCAGGGAGGCCTCCGGTCCAGGAGGCGATGGGCCAGAACCCAGCTCCATGGAGCGGGGCAGTGAGGTGAGAAGCCGGCGGGGTGGACGGGGCGAGCGGGGCAGGTGGGGGCACCCGGCCTCTGCAGCCACCTCCTGGGCTCAGCCTCCCCAGCCCTGACAAGACCCCCTCCTCTGGAGTCCCCAAGCCTGGACCTGCCCTCATCCCCCACCTCCCGGGACCCTTGCCCCATCTCGGCCATCCTGTTACTTTGTCACTCTGGCTGAGTGCCACTGGGATACACTGAGGTCACACCTGGAGCCGAGCGGCCGGCAGGGTGGGCGGGGCCGCAGGGCTGGCCTCTCACCCACGCGGCCCCTCCTCAGGCCTCCCTGTCCGAGGGGGGGGCTTCCTGCCCCGAGGCCCCCATCCGCCTGCTGTCACGGGGGACCCTGCAGAGCGACCTGGCAGGTGAGCAGGCCTGGTCCTGGGCAGGCTGATGGGCAGAGCGGGGACCAGCGCCCGCGGTGACCGCCCCTCTCCCAGCCTCGAAGCATCCCTGCCTGAGGCTGGCTGAGGGGCTCCTTGGCGGGACCCAGGCCTGCGGGCCTCACAGACGTCTCGCAGGCCCCGAGGGGAGCTGGCAGCCAGAGGTGGCGGCCGCCATCCGGAACCTGCAGCTGTGTCTGGACACCGGACCCCCGGGTAGGAGTGGCCCAGCCCGCAGCGGTCAGCCCTGCTCTCGGGGGGGCCCGGGACAGGGAGGTGGGGTGAAGGCAGCTCTGGACGGGCCGCTTGTGTGTGGTCAGGGAGGGGGCTCTGGGCAGCCGGTCCTTCTAGGATCTGGGCCACTGCGATGCTTTTAAATCTGCTGTGGGGCGTGTGCTCTCGCTAGGGAGAGACAGAGACAGTGGGGATCACCCGGGCTCGGCCACGCCGCAGGTCCTTCTCGGTCTCTCCGGGAGCGCGCTGGGACAGGGTCCGTGAAAGGAGCGGAGTAGAGGGGCCGCTGCCCGCAGTCGGAGGGGCTCCCGCTGCCCGGCTGTCCCCCACCTGGGAGGGCCCTGCGCCCTGCTCAGCGGCCCCTGCCTGCCCCAGCCCTGCAGGAGCCCCCGGGAGAGCGGCGGGCGG